GGTCAATTCAGGATGATTTACTTCATCGATGACCTCAACATGCCCGAGGCTAGTGTTTCTCCTCCTTCCCTTTCATGCCTCTGTCTTGAACACTTCTGATCCCCTCTTGAAGGTCATCTGTACCATCTTGCCATGTAGGTGGACAAATACTTTACAGTCCAGCCGCACACTCTTATGCGCCAACACATCGACCACAAACACTTCTACGATCGTACAAAACTGACCCTGAAGGTGATCCACAAGACCCAGTACGTGGCCGCTATGAATCCCACAGTTGGCAGTTTTACTATTCAAGATCGTTTACAACGTCACTTCTGCACTCTCGCACTCTCCTTTCCGGATGAATCGGCTGTTCAGTCCATCTACACAACCATTATGAGTCAACACTTTAGAAACAACAACATGTCTCCCTCCATTGTCAAGATGGTGTCAGATTTGATCACTGTGGCTATTGCAGTTCACAATAAAATCACGTCCACCTTCCTACCCACTGCAGTGTGCTTTCACTACGTCTTCAATCTACGAGACCTTTCCAACATTTTCCAGGTATGGTGTTTGAGAAAGGAGAAGTCCAAATATGACGCCTCTACCCACAATTCGTCTTAATTGTAGGGGATGCTCTTCTCTGAATCCGAAGTATTTACAACAGATTTGAGTATTCTTCGTCTCTATCGCCACGAGGCGATGCGAGTCTACTCCGACAAGATGATCAGCAAGAACGATATCAAACAGGCAGTCAATATCATCACCACTGGTATCACCAATGTCTTCAGTGAGACCTCTCCAGAAGATCTAGCCGCTGAACCGAGCCTTCTTTGTCACTTCGGTCGAGGCTTGGAGGCCGAAAAGCAGTATGCACAGATCCCGTCAATGGAGCGCATGACAGAAGTGCTTGTTGAAGGTCTTGAGATCTACAATGAATCCAATGCAGTCATGAATTTGGTTCTTTTCGGTGATGCTGTGGAGCATGTGATGCGAGTGTGTAGAATCCTAGAAATGCCTCGAGGCAATTGTCTGCTTATTGGAGTTGGTGGGTCGGGAAAACAGTCCTTGTCTAGACTCGCCTCCTACATTGTCGGATTTGAGGTCTCACAGATTGTTCTGCGACGTAACTACACCATGGCCGATCTCAAAGCGCACATGGCAATTTTGTACACGAAAACCGGACTCAAGAATGTCTCTGTTGTCTTCTTGATGACTGACGCTCAGGCAAGTTGGAATAGAATGAATCGAGACCAACCTTTATCATCCCCTTTCCCTATTCGTACTACCAATTCTACGTGTCTCTTGTGCTTTCAAAGGTGGCAGATGAGGGTTTCCTGGTGTGTGTGAATGATTTTCTGGCCTCGGGTGAGATCGCCGGAATTTTCAACGACGAGGATCAAGAGGCTATCATCAAGGGAATTCGTAATGAAGCCAAAGCCATGGGATACCTTGATACCAGTGACAATTGCTGGAAGTATTTCATTGAGAAGGTCCGTCGTACGCTTCGAGTAAGTGTGCTCCAATAACCACACTATCGGTCTTACGATCCTTTTTTTTTACAGTCTAAGATGACTTCCATCAAGTGTTTGATCTGATCTGGATGATTTGTAGGTGATTCTCTGCTTCTCACCCGTTGGAAGTACACTGAGAACTCGTGCTCGTCGATTTCCAGCCTTAGTCAACTGCACTTGCATTGATTGGTTCCATGAATGGCCACAAGAGGCATTGCTATCGGTGTCGCTGCGATTCCTCGAGGACTGCGAAGGCCTGAATGTGAGTTCACGGTGAATAGGAGTGGGTTTAAGTTGTCTACAGCCCAAGTCGCATATTCTGACTTTGTGGTTTCATCGGTTCAAAGTCATTCTTACTTTTGCATTAGTTTTCACTTCACTCAGATGTATGTACCCTTCAAAAGTCTTTAGGCCTCTTTTACTTGACTCAATTTCAGGATGACATCCGTGTGTCAGTCAGCAATTACATGGCCTACCTCCACACCACAGTGTCTGAGATCTCCGACATGTACTTCGAGAAGGAGCGTCGTCGAAACTACACCACACCTAAATCCTTCCTCGAGATGATTGCGTTGTACAAGCGTCTCACCTCAAAGCAATTGCATGAAATCAACGCCATGATTGAACGTCTCACAAACGGCCTTGAACGTCTGAGTGAAGCCGCTGGACAGACAGCTGAATTAAAGATTCAATTAGCCGAGCAGACAGTAGTGGTGAATGAAAAGAATGAGGCAGCAAACGCCCTAATTCAAGTGGTAAGTAAAGAGGCGGAAATTGTATCGGCAGAGAAGGACTTTGTCGCCGGTGAGGAGGCGAAGGTGGCTGTCATTAAAAATGAGGTGGAGATCAAACAGAAGGATTGTGAGCGTGATCTCATGAAGGCTGAACCGGCCTTACTTGCGGCACAAGAGGCTCTCAACACCCTGAACAAGAACAACCTCTCCGAGTTGAAAGCACTCACCTCTCCACCCCCAGATGTTGAAATGGTCTGTTCAGCCGTCATGGCCCTCTTTGCTATGGATGGAAAAATTCCCAAAGATCGAAGTTGGAAGGCAGCAAAAGCAAGCATCATGTCAAAAGCAGACACACTTCTCTTCAATCTGGTCAACTACGACAAGGAGCACATTCATCCAGAATCGAAGAAGGTTGCCCTAGGCTATGTGAGGAATTCCAACTTCAATCCGGAGGTCATCAAGACCAAATCTCTGGCTGCGGCCGGTCTCTGTTCGTGGGTTATCAATATCCTCAAGTTTCATGATGTCTTTCTGGAAGTCAAACCCAAACGAGATGCTTTAGATGAAGCAAATGAAGAATTGCGTCAAGCCACAGAGAAACTTCAGGGTCTGCAAGACAAGGTGCGTGTGTTGGAAGAATCGTTGAACAAATTGACAGCAGAATTTCGAGCTGCAACTGAGGAGAAGTTGCGCTGTCAAAAGATGGCTGATGACACAGCCTTGACCTTGGATTTAGCCAATCGTCTTGTAAGTGGCTTCAGTGATGAGAAAGTGCGCTGGGCTCAAGAGGTTGAAAATTTGTACCAACTAGGCAAAACTGTGTCTGGAGATGTCATATTTACCACTTCTTTTATATCTTACTTCGGCTACCTCAGTGCATTCTTCCGAGATGAGTTGATGGAGAAAAGAATAAGGCCCTTTTTGGACCAACAGCCCGTCCAAATCCCGCGACGACAGAGCATTGACCCATTGAAGATGTTA